AGTGCGACTACTGGGTAGGTTCGTCGGTTTGGCACGCAAACCGAGGCCAAGCAAATTAAGTGTGTGATTCTAATAATGCAAGTTGCAAAAAAAATAATAATGATTTTCCAATTATAGGAGCAATTGGTCAAAGGGTGACTTGCCTTGCTCAAAGTCTTCACTGAGCTTCTCGAATCTTCGAGAAATCCACGATCGACGAAAATCCGGTAACCGCAACTATACGCAAACAATCAAAAAACTAGACAAAAGACCAAGAAAAAGACCCTATTTAGACTAAATAATAGTGCCATTAAATAGATCTCAATTTTACGGAATTAATGGAAGTGGAACGGAGTCAATCGGACGAGCGGTTGAAGAGATATGGATTTCCTAAGATTATTTGGATTTTTTGTCTAAAGGAAAAGGATTTATCAAATCCTTTGGAAAAGAAAAGGAAGGAGGGATGTCATTTAGACTTACTTGGGCGGCTTAGGCGCGGCCCAAGGGGTCATGCGCAGCGCGGTCAGGCCATTGGGCCGGCGCGGGCGCGGGTGGTCGACCCATTAGGGGCGCGCGGGAGGGGGAGGCCGACCGGTGGACCGGGTGCACCTTGCGGGGTCCCGGGTAGGGCCCGCTTGTCGGTGACTGGGTTCACTGAGGGAAGGGCTCACGGGAGGGGCGGCGATAAGGTTTGGTGGACGCGGTTCGGGCGCGTGCGCCGGGTGGAGCGAGGCGCGATGGGCCCACGTGCAACCACATGGCGCACCGTGGTCTACGCGCGCACGTAGGGGGAAGCGAGGCTAGCCGGTTTGACTCGGTCTAGCCGAGTTGGCACCGACGTGGCGCCTACGCAGCGGCCACGTGGGCCGGTGAGAGGAGGAAGAAAGGGGGCCCGGCCGAATGGACGGCGGACGGCGGCCGAGTTCACCGGAGCTTGTCGCGATGATTCGAGAGAGAGGGAGCACACCGGAACGATGAGATGGAGGAGATAGAGTGCGCCACCGGCTCGGATTCACCGAAGGGAGACCGGCGACGACGAATTGCGGCGGCGCTCGCCGGCGGCGAGAAAAGGGGCAAACGGCGGAGGGGCGACGAGGATTCAATTCGAGGCGGTGGAAGCATCTCCGGGGTTCAAGGAGTCCGTTTCCGGCGTCGGATGGGGCGGAAGAGCACCGAGGAGGGCCGGCGACGAGCAGCGGCCTCCAAGAGCGGGCGGCAACGGCGGCGAGGCCATACCGGGCGGCGGCGGGTCTAGGGGCGACGTCTACGCGCGTTCGGGAGTGCCACCGAGCTATCACGCAGACTAGAGGGGGCGAGGGAGAGCAAGGAAGGGGAACGGGAGGAGGCACTACCGAGCTGGGCGGGCAGTGATAGGCGGTCGACGGCACGGGGCGAGCTCTCCGGCCTTGGACGGGGAAGGGGAAGAAGAGGGGTGGCTGGAGTCTTATTCGGCTCCTCGCGCGCCGGCTTCTAGGCACGCGCGATGGCGAGGAGGCGAAAGCGACGAGCGGCAACACGGTAATGGCGCGACGGCAGTGGAGGGGCAAGAGCAGAGAGAGAGCGGGGGGCGGGAGTGGCTTGGCTTTTATAGGCGGAGAAGAGGCGGTTTGGGAGGGGGAACCGACATAGGGCGGTCAAGGCGGCAACTGGCTCTGGTGCTAGGGCGCGGCTGGTGGCCACGGGCGGCAGAAGGAGACAGCGGCAGAGGCCGGGAAAAGGAAAAAAGGGTGAGGAAAAGGGGACTCTGCTCCTTGCCCAAAACTGGATGAGGGACAAAGGGAGAGAGAGTGGGGGCAAGGAGGGAGAGGAGCTCTGCCTCCATTGTTTGGAAGGACGCGGCTTGGAGCAGCGGACAGGGGGTGACGCCGGTGGTGACCACGGAGGTCTCTGCCTCCCGGTTTTGGATGCTAGCGGCGTGCAGCGGCAGAGCGGCAGCGTGCGATGCAGCTGGAGCCAGGGCAGTCGGCCACCGCGCAGGAGCGCGCGCGCGGAGCGCGGGCGCGGGTTCAAATTGCGGCAGCGGGAGTTTTGGCGCCGAGGTGAGAAGAGGGAGAGAGCTCGGCTCGGCGATGGCTCACGCGCACGCGCGTGTGGCGCACGTGCGGAGCGAGGGAGGAGAAGGCTGAGAGAGAGAACGGGCCGAGAGAGATGGGCCAAAGGAGGGAATTGGTCCATCCAAAATAGAGGGATGCAAAATAGACTTCTTCCAAGAAACTGATTTGGAGAAGATTTGAACATGGAATTTGACTTGGACTTCTGGATTGGGATCTGGATGAGAGGAAGGGTCTAGGAAGAGATCAAAAGGGGAAAATTTGGATATTTTTGGGGTCGGGCGAAAATTTGGCGAGGATTCAAAGAGAGGACTTGAATTTTGGAATTTGATTTGGAGACTTGAATCGGAATTGGAATCTTGAGGTGGACGATTTTGATGGCGACGAGAGTGAACAACAATGGAGATTGAATTGAGATCCATGACACGACTTAGACTCACACTCAAAGAACGAAATTTTCGCAATTAGGGTTTTGCCGAATTAGTTTTTAACGTCTCACGAAAAGCGGAGCGTTACAGGCCGCAAGCTCACCGCCACCTAGCTTCTATCTCCGATCCGTGCTGTAAACTTGCCACCGAGCTTCACACGTCACCAAGGAAAGGGGTAGCAGGTCTGGCGAGCTCGATGGGGCAGTGGGTGATATATGGAGATGGCAACGGTGGTTGTGAATCGAGCGAAGGAGGGAGCGATAACAACGATGGATTGGCTAGGAGTGGTAGACTAGTTGTCAGCAGCGCCGATTCCATGGGGAAGAAGAGAGGAGGATGTGGAATAGAAAGCGAAGAAATGATGGGTGGATCCACGTAGGTTGACATAATCATATACAAGATATTTGTGGGTGGACTCAGGGACGTGTTTTTTATTTGGTTTCTAGCAATGAAGTTCTCATTGTAAAATGTTTCAACAGAAGTATAAATTAAAATAGTTTAGGAGCTGATTTGAAAAATATAGTGTTGAACTGGAGGCAAAAAATGGATTATGAGCCCCTAGAAATACTATGCAACGTGAAATGTGTATCTTTTCAGTGGCTTTATTTTACATGGTAATACCTATTGATCATATGTGAAATGGTTTGAATTATTTCTCCTTGGCCTCAACCACGATGACAACTTGACAAGGCTCCAATTAGTGAGGTTGAACACTAGTGCACTACAAAGTGATATTTCTTCCGTTTCAGAATGTAAGATTTTCTAACATTACTCATATTTATATAGATATTTATATAGATGTTAATAAACTTAAGTATATACAGTGTCTAGATTCATTAACATCTATATGAATATGAATAATGCTAGAAAGTCTTACAATATGAAATGGATGGAGTAGTTGTTTACTTTCTTCACTTTAAAATAAAGCAACCTAGCTAATATTATATTTCTAATTTATTTTATTTTGAGATGAGACGAGTGGATGCCAGAGGCTGCAGTGTGTGGGTTAGGAGAAAGAAGAGTACGATGGATCGTAGGATTGAAGTTAGATTGAAATCCAAATGTATGTACAAGAAAACCGCGTACATGTAATTTATTCATAAGATACATGTATTGTAGTATCTCTTAGCATCTCTATGATATAGATGGTCTTTTAAAGACAACGGCAGATATGAGCAGTATTGAACTTCACTCGATCGTGCTGCTCCAGTGCTGCTCGGATCTCGACGCCTCGTTGGCGCGCTAGCAAGTACTCCCTCAGTCCCAAGTGCAATTTTGTACGGTTTATATATACAAAGTTTGACAGTTCGTCTTATTTAAAAAAATATATAATATTTTTATTGTTATTAGATGATAAAATATGAATAATATTTTATGTGTAACTTTTTTTTATTTTTTTATAAATTTTTTAAATAAGATAGATGGTCAAATATTGAACACATATACCCACGGCTGTACTTATTTTGAGATGTAGGTAGTAATAACTTTAAATACTTGTACTCGTAGTCGGACTTGAATCCCTCCCGATTTGTTACTGATGTGCGAAAAATATTCGTACTCGCATCTCGCGGTACGATCCGTCATCGGTGGAGGAAAAGAATAGTACTGTCAATATTTTGATAGCAGTACAACTAGCAAGCACTACTAATTTTTTGGTAAATATTGGCATTATCAATTCTGAGACAAATTTTATAATACAGTAAAAAAATTCTAGATCTATACTTCAATGAATCATCAGCTTTACCAACCATATATGATCAAACTAAACTATCACATTTACTGTTTAAACTAAACTATCACATTTACTGTTTAAACTATAAAAAGTTAGTAGGATATTGTTTTAGCATCAATCCAATGCAAACCAGTACTCCTACTCTTAATTCTTAAGGGACACTCCTTGATTATTAGAACAAATTTAATAGTAATAGTATAGTCAACTACTAACTTCAAATTATCTATATTTAATTTAATAACACATTTATATAATAGTTATCTACTACATCATTAATATATAATCTCACATCTCACATATACGTAATGTTTTGGAGTCTGTATCTGGCTATAAATCTTTAACTTATTTTTCTTCTCTCTTCTCTCTTATTTTTTTCGCACGTGTTTATAGCTGATTTATAAAGTAGTACTTGCTCTTGGCATCCACAATGTATGAAAAACCAGGTAATAAGCATGGAAAAGACCCCTACTACCTGGTAAGAAGCATTATGGAAGTGATAAACAACAACAACCAGGTCATAGTCCTATTGCCGGCAATAAAAAATAAACTACAATATTGATACAGTACTATATGGTAACATGATGCTGAGAATAGATGCTTTCCAATAAGAGAGTCCCACCTTATTTCCTAGTCCTTACACAGATACATTGTGGACTCTATGATGTACTACTACCACCTGCTCTTGGTCCCACTCATGGCCCCACACTACTATCAAGCTCGGCAATGAGGTTGCCCTTTTATGGTTACAAAGAAGGAAAAAAAAAAGTGGAACAAAGCCTCGGAGGCCGGAAGCATCTAGACTCGCGGGGCCATTTGACCAACCGAAACTCGACGGCCCACCCACCAACCACCACCACCACCACCACACCCGCTCCTCCTGCTCCACCGCACTCTGCAGTCCGCACCCGCGCGAGGCTTCCGCTCCGCTCCCCTCCGATCCGTGGCCTCCTCATCGCCCCTATTAAACGGGAACCCAGCCCGGCGTCCCCTTCTCGGCTTCCTCCTCCACCATCCATCCATCCGCGCGCGGTGCGTAGTAGCGAGAAGAGAAGGGGGGGAGGGCAAAGCGATGGCTCCGATGAAGCTGTACGGGTCGACGCTGTCGTGGAACGTGACGAGGTGCGTGGCGGTGCTGGAGGAGGCCGGCGCCGAGTACGAGATCGTGCCGCTCGATTTCTCCAAAGGCGAGCACAAGGCCCCCGACCACCTCGCCAGGAACGTACGTGCCCACCGCCCCTCCCCTCGCTCGCTAGTTGTTTCCTTTCTTTTTGTTACGATTTCCCTCAGTCGACGACGAGATATGTTGTTTCCATGCCCTCACTTTCAGTCAACGGGAGCGATTTTGCTGCGGCCGCTAATATCTTGGGACTTGGGAGTTATCACCCAATAAGAAGTCTAGGAGTTCTACGATGAGGCGTTTAGGTTTAAGACGAAAATAAAATATGTTTAAGAAGTACTGTGTTCCAAGTAGACATATGAAAGAGGTATATATAGTTTCTTCCGGTAATCCTTCAATACCACGAATTTTGGGTTCTGTCATCCACAGCGTAGACGGTAGTAATCCTTGCTTCAGCATCAAACCACCCTTTCTCCGCCCCCCCCCCCCCCCCCCACAAGGCTAACATCCTCACTTCCTGCAACCACCACCGACGCTGCCACGTACACACAGCACTATGGTATGTCATGATCATGCTATATTAGGCTACCATTTTGATGATGTCGTATTCGTATAGCCCTCAAGTGGAAGATCTGATCTGTCCATCTTAGATCGAATGGCTGATGTTGACCCAAAGAAATTATGGTGTGCTTCTCTGACTTGCTCCTGGGATTTAGACGATCTCCAGTTTTCTATTTGAGAGGTTTGTTTGGATGGTGCCCTGACCTGAGCGCTCTCACTGGCATCCAACCACAGGCCACCAAAATCGGACGCCTGTTCTCAGGGTGTGAACCAAACAGGCCTTGATGATAAATGTGCGCAGCTTTAAGTTCAAGAGTATGTAGCAAGATTTGGGTGGGTGAACTGGATCAAATGTGGAAAAGTTTATTGTTTATATCCGTTCAAAGAACAGAAATTTGTAGTTCTTCTAATAAACTGTTCGAGAGAAGGTGAACTGGATCAAATGTGGAAAAGTTTATTGTTTATATCCGTTCGAAGAACAGAAATTTGTAGTTCTTCTAATAAACTGTTCAAGAGAATTGCTAATAAGAATCGATTTCCTGCCATGTTAATTTGTGAACTAGTTACTCCTGATCTCCAAATCCATTTGAGAGAAAGGGAAAGGGAAAAGTGACTGGAGTGAAGGAAGCTATAGGTAGGCAAAGAACAAACAAATGCCTCCATTTAATTTTCTGGGGAACAAAGGAGGCGTGATAATTAGGTGATGAGGTTTAGAATTTAAAAGGAGGTAGTAGATGACCACTTGTCGCTGCCAGGTGTTTCCTATAGTAAATATTGTCTGGTAGACCGTACAGTATTGTTTGAGGAGAAATTTTTTTAATCAACTCTGCATGCTTCATCAGCCTTATCCTGACCAATATAAATTTGCTGGCTGTGCTCTATTACTTCTAACATTTTCAGTGTCCAACTTATGGACTTTTTGCCTCTTCCAACCATTGAACAGAGGAATAGATGGGAATGCCATCTTTTACACGTTTGTTATACAACTAACCAGATGCCCATGCATTGTAATGGTTTCTATTTTTCTAATAAATATGTCGTATTTTTTAATTTGAGAACTCCTAAAATAAATATAGTTTTCAACCAAACATCAATCCATAAAGGACATTATTAAAAGTCACATGCACAAATATCAACTTCTTAGATAATCCTGGCAACTCAAAGAGGTGGTAGGGGCTGGCACATTTCACCACCGGCACCACCATTAGCTTCCTTTATATTACTCATGTTTGATGGTGATATATTTATATGTGTATGCTTTTAGTTGGTTTGTGATGTAGCAATTTAATTTTTTACACTTGTTACCATATGTCACCTTTCTGGAATCTGTTATGTCGTGAGTGAAGGTCCCTATCCATAGGATTATCTCACCAGCATAACTTTGACAATAAATACATTTGTCGCACTTGGGGGATAACTATGACATTTGTTTGCTAAACTCATTGTTTCTTGTGATATCCTCTGCAGCCCTTTGGTCAGGTGCCGGCTTTGCAAGATGGTGACTTGTTCCTCTGGGGTATGATGCTATCTCTTGGTGTTGTTTTATCCTTTTTTCCCCCTCGTAAATAAAGGGAACTGATGCTTTAGCTGATTTTTCTTTCACCGTGGAAACTATCATGCCTCTTTTCCTAACATATACTAACAACGCTAGCACATCCTCACATGACCTTTTTTCTGGAAGCACCTGATTCAGTGTTATGGATATTCTTTATTAAAGGATAAATGAGTCCTTTTTTTTGCCGGGTTGGCCAAAAGAAGCGACCAACCAATTGCATTAAGATTAAAAGGAGGTGTCTACAAAGATAAAAGGAGTCTGCGAAATTCATTAATACATTATGGTGAAAAATACAATTAATAAAAAAAAGGAATAGCCAGGAGGAGGCTAGGTATCTTGGAATTAAGAAGAAAAGGTTCAAGAAATCCCCGAGGAGAAAATTTGCCAGATTCAAGATTCAAACCCAGGTGGGCTGTGGGAACAACCCTGCAACAAACCACCTCACCCAATGAAAAGTACAATTCATTGCCATCGCGAACTGTCATTGTGTTGTCAGGGTTAAGGTTTTTATTGGTAAAGTATTAAGAGTAACCAAACTGAGCCTTTTAGTCATGCACCATAGTCTCATGGTCGGGATGGTCTCAAACTGATGAAGCAATAAATTTCTTTTGAAGAATATGATGAAACAATACATACTATTACTGCCAATTACGAGTTCAAGCCAATGCCTATAAATCATGTTTATAATTTTAATTCCTACGACAGGCATAGTATTGCAGTTTTGGGCCAGTCTCTTAGAGTAAGAGACCACTGTTGAGCATATGCCTGTAGAATCTTGGTCATTTACAAATGTTGTTTTTTTAACCATAACTGATAGCTCTGTCTAATTTCTTCTTGTTAGAATCACGTGCAATTTGCAAGTATGTATGCCGCAAGAACAAACCAGAGCTGTTGAAGGATGGCGACCTCAAGGAGTCAGCAATGGTGGATGTGTGGCTTGAAGTGGAGTCCAACCAGTACACTCCTGCACTGAACCCCATTCTTTTTCAGTGCCTAATCCGTCCGATGATGTTTGGGGCACCCCCCGACGAGAAAGTTGTTGAGGAGAACCTTGAGAAGCTGAAGAAGGTGTTGGAGGTGTACGAGGCGCGCCTGACGAAGTGCAAGTACCTGGCTGGAGACTACATCAGTGTCGCGGACCTAAGCCATGTGGCTGGCACTGTATGCTTGGGGGCTACTCCCCACGCATCCGTGTTGGACGCATACCCGCATGTGAAGGCCTGGTGGACTGACCTGATGGCAAGGCCGTCTTCCCAGAAGGTGGCTTCACTGATGAAGCCTCCTGCTTAAGGTAGTTGTTCTAGGCACAGGTTTGTCGTCCATGGTCCACAGAATAAGCTGAGGTGTGCCCAGTTGGTTGCTCGTTTAAGGATTTGTGTTATTATGTGTGTCCTGGATGTTGAATGTTCAAGCAATCAGGATTGTGTTGTTATGCTGCATATGATCCAACCTAAGTCTTGTACTGCTATGAGCATTCTTGTGCTCTGGCCTTCGCTCTTGAGAACCTTATAATAAATTCTGCTTTTAGTCACCTAGCCCTTGGTAATTTTTCATTCGTCGATTCGTTGATCATGTTTATGAAGTTAAAATTGATACAATTCTGGAGTTTACAGAATATCATCGGGCTTTAACTTAACAAAGTGAAAGTGCAAGCAATTGTGTGCGTTTGTTTGTTGTGGAATTAGATAATCTAGAACAAGGGGGAAGAGATTTTTCATGTGTTACAATATACTACTCCCTCCGTCCCATAATGTTGCAACCTAGAATGGGATGAGACTCATCCCATCCTAGGTTGCAACATTATGGAGACATGTCCAGATTCGTAGTTCTAGGATGGGTCTCATCCCATCTTAGGTTGCAACATTATGGGACGAAGGAAGTACATGATTCTTATGTTGGAGATATTTGCCACATGAACAGGCCTGGTGACTTCTGAGTTCTGACTTGGTTGAGAACTGATAAACCAATTAGTGTTCCTCCATCAATTTCTCGATCTTGGTTTTGTCACTTTGTGCATCTGCTGGAAATTAGCAGTCCCCGAATGTAGTAGTGCAAAGCAGCCTGAGCTGAAAATACAGATAGAACAGCTGATGAGTGATGATTGACAGACATCACACGCGGACGTTCAATTTATCCCAGCATGTGCAGGATACATGTTAACTCCCTAACCTTTTCCTTTTTCTTCAAAAGAATGTGCTACTATATACCATACTGTGTGTATACATAACTTTGCTTTTCGAAAAAAAAAAAGGAGGGGGGAAAAAGCTCAAGATTATCTGGTAAGCACTACCACTCACTGTCCACCACGAAGAACACAAGTACAGCAAAGCTGCCAGAGCACGGCACAGCACACAGGTGACGGCTTTGCAGCTCGCGACTTTGCAATTGCATGCCTTTACTTTGGGCGACGCCGGCTCGCAAACCCGGCCTAAACAGCGCCGTTCGTCGCGCGGCCGGGGCAGCAGCTACGCGCAAAGGCGACAGCTCGCGGAATGGTCGGAAAGCGCGATAGAATCGGACCAGCCCGTCGGTGAGTGGTGACTTGCCGTTTTCGCCAATAAATAAAGAGAATGAGAAGCTAGCCAACTACTCCTACAACCAGCAGCGCAGTTACACCCAAACCAGCAGCATCGACGATTCGCCGAGCTAGGGGCAGAGGCAGAAGTGCAGAACGTACACGCGTGGTGAGCAGAGGAGCAATGGCGACTCGGCTTCTGCTGCTGCTGCTGCTCTTGCTCGGCATGTCGCTGAAAGGATCAGGTGAGTGAGCGATCGAAATGGCTAGCTACGTAGCGGGTATATCGTTGTCACGGGCCGAGCTCACACGACGCGCGCGTGCGGTGTGCAGAGGGGGCGTGGTGCGTGTGCAGGCCGGACGTGGCGGAGGCGGCGCTGCAGAAGGCGCTGGACTACGCGTGCGGGCACGGCGCGGACTGCGCCCCGGTGACGCCGAGCGGGTCGTGCTACAGCCCAAACAACGTGGCGGCGCACTGCTCCTACGCCGCCAACAGCTACTTCCAGCGGAATTCCCAGGCCAAGGGCGCCACCTGCGACTTCGGCGGCGCCGCCACCCTCTCCTCCACCGACCCCAGTACGTTTCTCACCTCAACTCTGCTAGTACCTTTGATCTTCGATGTGTTTACTTAACACGATATTATTCTGTTTATGTTGTGCAGGCTCAGGAACCTGCAAATACCCTGCAACCGCAAGGTGATTAACCTTCAACTTTCAATGGCCAAACTCAAACTGAATAAAATTAGCATCTGTGCTTGGAAGATGAACCCATGATTCATGAACTGAAGCATTTTCCTTTTCACATGTTCTTGTGCAGTGCTGCAGGGACAAGCACCGGAACCGGCACGGCGGGTGCAGGCACAGGCACCGGTACAAGCACGAGCACGAGCACGAGCACTTCTTCCCCGGGCTCTTCAACTGCAGCCACGGGTACGCCGATCATGGGAGGGACCTTCGCTACGCCGATCGGCGGCGGCGCGTCTGGGCCGACGACTAGCGCCTTGAATCCTGACAGCAGCGAAGCACCGTCCCCGTCCCTTGGACGTCATCTTCTCCTCACGTGCATTGCCTCCATGCTGCTCTCTAATTTTCTTTTGGCGTAGTAATTTGGCCGGAAAGTAACGTGAACTGAAGCAGCATACTGTGGGAGAATGGAGATTTGGCTTTCCTTTTCTGCTTTGGAGCTTGTCGCGGCCTGTTCTTTTTCTTTACCAGAACTGCAGGTCCTGGGTGTTTACACCTGTTGTACCAGTGCCCAGTGAACTGGCCGTTTGCATCATGGCATGTTTAGTATGTTATCGTGCTAGTGTCAGCACATTCTCACTGATATTATTGAATTTCCTACTCAGTACTCAAGTAAATGCCTTGAAATTACAGTGAAATCATTTCAAAAGGAGAGATCATACTAACTAGGTTCGAGCAGATTTGGTCCAGCCCAATTTCAGGGCACAAGTTGGGCCGAACCACTCCCGAGCAGAAAGTTAGTGGGCTTTTTTTTGCTGGACCGGCCCATGAACCCAAGTCGTGTACTCGTCTGCTGGTGTTTTTCGCGCGATGAAAGCGTGGGGAAACCCCGCGTCGTCGCTGCCGGGTCGCCATGTCCGAGCTCCGCGTGTCGAGAGCACGAGCCACCTCCGGACTCGCCGCGATCCACTTATTCCTCGCTCCCAATGCTATGCATGGCCGCATGCTTCTTCTTCTTCTCCACGTCCCCGGCCTCTCTTCTCGCTCTTTCTCTCCCCTCGTTTCTCTCTCCCTCTCTTGATCTGTGTGCGTCTTGCGCGCGTTGTTTGGGCGAGAGCTCTGGCGGCTGCGCGCGCGGGTGTTCTCTTCGTGGCGAGATCGGCGTTGATGCGCGGCGCGGCGTGGCGGTGGTGGGCGTGCGTGCGATGAGGAAGCTGTGCCCGAACCTGGACCGCGACGACTCGCTGGACACCGTGCTGGAGGTGCCCATCCCCGATGAGATGCTCATCAACGCGCCAGGCACCGACAAGCGCCGCGGCGCCGGCGGCGCCAACATGCGCGCGTGGCTCAAGAACCAGGCGTTCGACCGCGCCACCGTCGGCGGCCCCGCCAACGCAACCGCCGAGCTCCAGCTCTTCCTCAACGTCGTCGGCTCGCCGCTCATCCCCTGCCCCGTCCCCCACGACCGCGCCTTCAGCCGCTCCATCCGCGACTCCTCCATCGTAAGCCACCGCTCCCCTGCCCGCGTCGCGCGCGCGCGCGTCCATGCATGCTCCGCTGCCGGTTGGTTCTTGACGCGTTCATCCCCCTCCTCGTGTGTGTGCGCGCGTGTGTGGTCAGCAAGCGTCGACGGCCAAGTACATCATGCAGCAGTACATCGCGGCGACGGGCGGGCAGGCGGCGTTGCAGGGGCTGCAGAGCATGTACGCCGTGGGAAAGGTGCGGATGTGCGCGTCGGAGTTCCACCTCGGCGACCAGAACGTGACCGCCGCGCAGGGCCGCGCCGAGGTCGGCGGGTTCGTGCTCTGGCAGAAGTGCCCCGAGGTCTGGTACTTCGAGCTCATCATGGCCGGCCACAAGATGAGCGCCGGCAGCGACGGCAAGGTCGCCTGGCGCCAGTCCGCCGCCGAGAACTCCCACGCCTCCCGCGGCCCTCCCCGCCCCCTCCGCCGCTCCCTCCAGGTCGATCGCACTTTGCTCGCCGCCGCGCCGCCGCTTCCCTCCCTCTCAACGAGCTTCGATATCACGATGCAGGGGCTGGACCCGAGGTCGATCGCGAACCTGTTCTCCGACGCGGTGTGCATCGGCGAGAAGATCATCACCGGGGAGGAGTGCTTCATCCTGAAGCTGGAGGCGAGCGCGGCGACGCTGCGCGCCCGGAGCGCGGCGGCGTTCGACATCATCCACCACACGGTGTGGGGCTACTTCAGCCAGCGCACGGGCCTGCTCATCCAGTTGGAGGACTCGCACCTCCTCCGCATGAAGTCCGGCAAGGGCGCCCGCCGCAGCGAGAACATCTTCTGGGAGACCACCATGGAGTCCACCATCTCCGACTACCGCCACATCGATGGCATCAACATCGCCCACGGCGGCCACACCGCCGTCACGCTCTTCCGCTACGGCGAGGGCTCCGTCAACCACAAGCGGAAGCTGGAGGAGACGTGGACGGTGGAGGAGGCCGACTTCAACCTGTACGGTCTCACCACCGACTACTTCCTGCCGCCCTCCGACCTCAAGAAGGACATCGACGAGAAGCGCGCCGGCTGACCCGCCCGGCTAGAATAAGATCCCATGCAGGCCTGAATTTTGGTAGAGGTGGCCATAGGTGTATGGGGTTTGTTCTTGATTCCTTAACATTTTTTTTCTTCTTCTTTTCTTGTCTAATTGCAAAGTAATTCAACCATGATCCAGGAATAAAATTACTTAAAAGGGTTCATTTTTTTAGGACAAAGCATGGCTGCTGCAAAAATATAGGTGGATAGGAGCTTGACTGTTTCTGTTTTTAAAAGCTATTGTAAGAACTGTGATGCCATTTATCATTTGAATGATTCAAACGTTTAATTCTGGACAGGTACAGTGAAGAGTGCATACAATCTGATCACCGGGTCAGCAGCAGCACACTAATGTTCAGAAAATTACACATTTGCTTATAAGATTGTTAAAAGAACAGTTGTAGCAAAAAAAAAACTCCATATTAGATTACTAAGGCATAATCATCCTCTGTAATTCAGATAGTTATGAAATACTTCAAGCAGCAGGGAAAATTGAACTGGTTAACTTCAGGAAAACAGCATATAAAAATAATCACCAACTATACCATTTTACTTAATACAAACCAAATATTACAACTGCACATTTCATCAAGAATAACTGTGTTTTAAGTTCTACACTCTGCAAGCTACAATGTTTTTTGAGCTCCTTCAAAAAGATCGAGCAAAAGTTTCTCCAAATCCTCAGGCTTATACTTTATGTATCGCTCTAGGTGCCTAGTGCCATCAAGGCGGCTATAGTATCGTCCCGTGAAAGTACGATAGGCCTGTATAATTTTCAGGGATATCGAAATCCTGACATCTTCACGGAGTTGGTCATCTGGGATAGACCATCCTGTTTGAGTTCGATAAGCATCTTCAAATGACAGATTGAAATTTTTGAATTTCTCTTTAATGATTTTACGAGAAGCACCATCCCCAGCAGCACACAAGCCATCATCACTCAGAAAAGAGAGAACATGACTCCACGATGCCCTCTCGTAGCTCATCGCTTGCTGCTGAAACTTCCGATTGTGCACCCGGATCCAGTCATCACCAAGAAAGATTTTAAGCTCTGAGTTTTTCACTTTCTGGACCATGTAGTAGATGTTGTTCATCATAAAGATGTTTCGTAATCGATCATCTCTATATAATCTGGACCCAGCTTCAAGATTTTCTTCTAGAATTGCAGTAACTGACTGCAAATGCAATGCACTGACAGTAAAATGAGGACATTGGTTTGCCATAGACTGAATGTCAGTGGAGAAATGCTGGCATCTTCGATCTGTGTCCTTTAGAAGCGAATCAAGAGTTTTGCTATAAGCTGTGAGAGCTTTTATATAGTTCATAACATACTTTGTAAGGGGATGCACTTCACCACGGGCCATTGCATTGGATGAAGTGTAGGACTGGACAGCATACTTGAATTCTGTAATTGTTTTTCTTACTGATTCTCCCAGCTGTAGCAGGACTTCATTATATTCAGTCAAAACTATATCATCACATCCTTCTTGAAACAAGAATTCTACTTCAGGGAGTAAATCATTTAAGACCTCATACATATCAAGCAGACGGAAAAGCTTTTCTGGTTTAGGAGGTCCAATTGCTACAGATTCATAAAAGGTCAGAAGTTGCATGACTGAGCTCAATGAAATCTCATAAAAACACAAGTCTGCGGTTGATTCTGAAAGTTCACCAAAGACATGATTGCTAAGGCGCTTCTCACTTGTAAGGTAGACTTGGACAAAGACCTTCATTGCACGATTCCACCTCTTTATCAATGAACTTAACTTGGTCCAGTTGGTGCTCAAAAGTTCTTCCATGCTGAGCTTGTCAATACGAAGAGACCCAAGGTTCTCATCTACTGCACTCTGTCGTGTGCTTATGTAAGCCTGGGAACACTCCTTATCATATTCACTCAGAAACATGAAGTTGGCAATGGACTTGACAGCAGAGAGTGCACCATGTTGAATCAAATCAGTCGCAAAATATTCTGATCCTCCAGTAGTTTCAGTCTGTGTTGTCTTACCGTCACATTGTTCCTCATTGAATGAGCTGCTTGAAAAATCATCCACACTGCCATCCTCTGTAGACCGGAAAGAAACAAGTCCTTGTTCTATTGGTTGTTTGTAATGCGTAAGAAGATAAACAAATTCCTCTTCAAGCCTTGCCATTGCCATATCAAAAAGGTCGCCAGCATATACTATGAGCTCATTATGCTCTTTGGCTTCCCCACCAGGGTGTAAGCTCCCTAACCTTTCAGTCAGCTGCCGAATTTTGTACAGCACTTCCAAGTACTGAAATGAGTTTTGCGGATCATGAACACGCATGGAATTTTCAAAATCCAAAGTAAGAATCTTCTTCCGCAGTGCCTTGAGTGCATGCTCAATATCACATAACTCCTGTTCTTCTCCCAGGGTGATGTTTGAAAACTGCTTAATTAACTCAGCAGCCATCATTTTGTAGACTATATATTCAACGTCTTCTATAAAATCAGTGGAGGTGATTTTCTTCCCTGCTTCACATGTTCAAACAAAAGAGCAAGTCAACATCATTCCACTTTGGAGTTTGGAAATACAGAAAAGCTAACGTTCAAAGATGAATACAGCAATGATTCACGACTCACAAGAATATCTTGAGAATTTGAGATGCAAGTATAAAATAAAGTCATGAAAATGAAACATGAGTTTCAAAAAATTAAGCATAACAATATGCAAGCAAACGTGGAAACAGAAAGAATTACACTGTGGAAGTCACATCATGGTTGAAGATCGATTCTCCTTTTCCCAAAGCTTTTCATTACCCAGCCAATTCTCCTTTTTCTTTGATTTTGTAGAAAAAAAGACAATAGAAAAGTTCCGGTATATATATCTTGGATTGTGGAATAAATAAGCTCCAGTACATATGTTGAATGTCTGAACATGTATTATCTAGCTGGATTTGATTAGATAAGATACCACGAAGGCTCATAGTAAGAGCACATCTTGCCACTTCTTACACCAAAACCAAACAACTTCAAAGAGTAAAAACTTATTTGATAGAACTTGTTCAGCTGTTCCAATTGAACAACAAATACAGATGCAATTAGTACTATATTTATTACAAAACAACTTCTTAAATCTCCATAAGAGTTGAGGTTACCATAAAATCAAGTCGCAATCGCCTTTTTTTCAATTTTTGTCCACAAAAGATTACTTTTTATATATATTACAGTATTTTTTTTACTCGATGGCTATTACACAGACTTAGTTCTTCCATAGTTCAGTAATTACTCGATTAGGCCCAAAAACAATAACAAAAAGAAACACCTCCACCATTCTTTGCACGTTTTTGCCTATCTCCAATCAAGAAATCTCATACTCCCAAGAAATTTTTAAACCCAGCTCATCATCTAACACATCAAGCTCTCAGAACGAAAAAAAAAACTCATGCCAGAAACAGCCCACCTCCATCATCAGAGCTCCAGTTCTAACCGGGCCAGAAATTAACAAACACAGAAATACACATACCAAAAAAGGTGTTAAGCCCTGAAGCCCCCCTATACTACTAAGCAAGAGCAGTAAAGGGAGGAGAAGACGACTCACCGCACTCCCTCCGCAGCGAAAAGCCGCTTCTTCGCCGGTCCCGACCGCCGCTGTGCTCGAGAGCCACCGGAACCCAGGATTGGGGATCCGATCAAACCGCCGTGGTAAAGAACCTGACAAATCCAAGAGGAGAGAGATAGAGAGGAGGAAGAAGACGGAAATGGAGTGGTGAGGCGGAGGGCGGGGAGGTGTATGTACAACTACAGAGAGAGGACGAGGAGGAGGAGGAGTCAAGTCAACCCGAGGGCGAGCGGGGCGACGGCGACGGCGACGGATGGTGTGGCAGCGGGTGGAGGAGGGGGGAGGATGTGGACGGTCAATGGAAAGGACGGGACTGAATAAAAGGGAACGGGAACGGATGCCGTGCTGCCGGGGTCTCCCGTTGAAAGGGCCGCTGACCGTTCCGTTCCCGTTCCTGTTCTGACGGCCGGCGGCCTTCTCTTCCGTTCTTTCTTTCTTTTTTTTTTCCCCTTTTTTCTTGCAGTTGCAGCCTTCCACAGTTGCACTGCACTGCAGCTCGTTTGTTGCGGGTTGCGGCGACCTGTGGAATGGTGAGACGGGAGAGAGGAGAGCGTGCTTTCGTACAGGGTACAGCACTTGGCTTGCGCTGACGGCTGACCGTGACTGCTTTTAGCATGGCTAGACTTTCTGTAGACTGCAGGTGTATAAACCAAACTAGCTTTTCAAACGGATGATTATCCTAGATTATTTATCGTTTATAAAATAAATTAAATATAAAAAATAAATTTAGCAAATTAGTACTAAGACCTGGTTTAGTTCCCAACTTTTTCTTCAAACTTTCAAATTTTTCATCACATCGAAACTTTCATACACATAAACTTTCAGTTTTTCCGTCACATCATTCCATTTTCAATCAAACTTCTAATTTTAATATGAACTAAACACACCCTAACTCAGAGCAAGTTGAAAGTGCTCCAAGAAACTTATCGAAGTATTATATTGAAATTTTGACTATTTATCTTTTTAAAATACTTTCTAAACTGATAAATAGATGCTCCCTTATTGAAGTGTATCGGGTACATATTAAACATAAGTATTTAAGTTTCGTTCGTTATAATCTAAACATTTAAAAATTACTAAAGGTCAAAATTACAACAATTTTTAATCGATGGTGATAATTATATAGTAATAGAGGGAGTATAAGAAAACATATTTCTAGAAACGTAGAGCAGATTATATGAAGTAAACAGAAAAGAATTGTGACACGAGAGAACGACGAGGGACATCATTTACGCTACGAGGGACAATGACACAATGTGCCCCTTTTTTTTTCTGGACGAATGAATTCTACAGGAATTTCGCACGGGTTGAATTTTAGTCTCTGTAAAATTCTTACTTTTCAGAGTAGAGTATCGGTTCCGTAGAATTCTAAATCTGAAAAAGATAAATGGTGTCGCGTTGAAGATTACTACGTACGTGTATAAACTATCACTCCACGTCGATCGCGCGTTCATTCCATTCCACACAAGAACCACTCTACTCCAGCTGAACCTGGTACCACTGCACGGAGCCGACCTCGCCGTCGATCTCCAGCTCGCAGACGGACCGGACGAGGTACGACACGGCGTCGTCGACGGTGTCGAACCTCGCGAGGTCCGGCGGCAGCTCGCCGCCGGGCCACCGCTCCAGCCACCCCCTCAGCCTGCCCTCCAGCTCCTCCTTGCTCACGAACTCCTCCTCCTCCCCTGGCTCCATCAGCACGTACGTCTCCGACTGGATGTCCGCCCTCCTCCGCCGAGCCGCGCAGACGACCACCACCTGAAACACACACGCACACACACACAAAAACCAAGCAGTTCGCCGGTGAGATCGATGAGCCCCCACGCTGACCGCTACGGTGGTTCACCGGCCGGCGGCCGGTAGCCGCAGTGAGACTGACGACTTTACCTGGATCACGTGGCGACTGAAAATGATGCGAGAGCCTGCAAATGCTGCGATTTTCTGCTGGCGATGCGCGCAGCAGCAGAGCGTAGTGTCTCGCGATCGCCTCTTGTGGGGTAGAGGCGCTGAACTTTTGCCTGTATTGGAAGGAACAAGCTTTTGACACTGAAATTATTTTGCCTGTATTGGAGGGAACAAGCTTTTGACACTGAAAATTGCAAGATTTCGGTAGTGGTAGGCAGTGCAGGCGACTGAACTGAAGGAGTAGTAGCAGCAACTGTAACAGCAAGACGCTTTTGACTGTTGGTGGAAAAGCTCGGGAGCATTTGATATGGAAGTCGTTATCAAAAATAATAAAAGAAGACATGGGAGTTGATTTTTTTTTTCTTTTCAAAAGGTTGTTCGATTCAAAGATAGACTGATGCATGGGGCGCCGGTGCTAAAGTTGGGGAGAAAAGAGCAAGCTTTTTCCAAGATATTTCAGTATTTACTATTATACCGTGAGGTGTGTACCCATGATATTTTTCAGTAAGAGTTTTTAGTAGTAGTAGTAGTAGTAGTAGTTTGGTAAAGACTCTAGGACTGAACTTTAGTTAGTGGTTGCTGTTCCAAATTCCAAGACATGTAGTTTATGCAGTCATGTTCTACTTGAACTGCAGGACTGGAGCATATTGGTTTTGTTTAGCTAGATTGTCCTGGTCAAAGGGGGTGTGAGAAAGAAAAGAAATATTGGCTGCACTTGGCACGTTATCCTTCAAAGTCGTCGTCCCTAGAACTCAATATTCTATTGCCATGAACATATTCCTTCTCTAGAAGTTGATTAGATGACCAATTCAAGATACTAATAAAAAAAATTCTCAGAAATCTTATCACCTAACACTGGAGCTCACAGCACAATCTACTAATCTAGTACTATCAAACTGACCCGGGTCACAACGAAGAAGATCAAAGTGTTGCATCATGGCATTCTCGTAGCTTTTGACAGAGGACAGGAGTGGGTAGAGCTGCGGTTACCTGTCAAAAGTTCGCCGGTGGAGGCAGCCGCCGCCGCTTCCATCCTTCCTCTGCTCAAGTTGTGTGGCCTGAAATCTTCCCTTCAAAAGCTTTAGCTGAATGCCTTATCCTTCATGGCTCTTCTTTACTCACTACCATCTGCATTGAGATTGGTGAGTTGTACCAGTTATCAAAAGGAGAAGACTTGGTTCCCTTCCAGTGAGAACAGAAAGGGACTTGAAATGCGACTACCGACCACACATCGGCTGCCTGATCACTCCGGTCTCCGCCACTGCACAAGTGGCAGACCGGAGACGACTATTTATTATAGCAGAGGTCAGCTGTGTTCACTGTCATTACTGATTTCCAGTTTGCATTTCAACTCTCAATACCAATTCCAACTTCCTGTTGTTGCTTTTCACATCTGCACTGGTAGGTATGCACACATCCTGAGTTCCTGACAACTTGTCCAAACAGCTCCATCTCAATGTACCCATCAATGAACTTTGTTTCAAGGAACTAATCAGATACAACTGTTTTAAAGACAATTATTACAACTGTAGAAATTTCTCCCCGCAATTCAGGGATTTATAGTTATAGAGGTGTCTACAATCCGTTCTAACTGCTAGCCACCAGAAAACAAGTATTTTTTTCTTTTTTTTTTTGTTCTGTAACATTCAAGGTCACCCTTGATCACTAATGCGTGTATATAAGCATGTCGATTAACGGAAAAATGGAAAACATGATCAGAAACCTTCATATTGGGAGATCATTTGAGCAATTTTTACTAGGAGGCTGTTTGCAGTTTCATCCTTCGCATGTGGAGCTACCAGTTCCTGGTAACGGTGCAGGGATCCAGTGAAATCAGTGAACAATCCATCGACCCCCATGCTGTTTATCCAGAAATCATACTCAGCATAAGGGTCCTGATGGAAGTTGAGGTGCAGGAATTGGTTCTCGTTCCTGTATGTGTACGGGTGTACCTGCAATGACAGCAAGAGTTTAATTATCTAGATACAAAATTACCTGCCAATTTTGTCATGAAGTATGCATGTTATGGGCCAACAAAAGGCAACATAAAGTAGGGCAACAAATCGATCTATCTGAACTATGTACAGCAGAAAGTTAATGCACCTTAATGATGTACAAAGAGTCATGTGAAATTTAAAGACATGCTATGCATTTTGTTCAAATCATTCAGTTACTCAATGTGCAATACTCATTGCATGACACATGAGACCAAAAAGTGGACAATGACGATAATGTTTCCATTCTTCTCGTTATTCAAATCAACCGTAATAGATTTAAACATAAAATATGCTGAAGGTGTTATGAACCCTGAAGTATGGAAATTAATGCATAAAACTTATCGCATCTTGTACGGATTATATCACAAGTAGGCAATAGCTCATGGAAACATGCTATTCCAGGTAACTGTAAAGAATATAAACAAATACCATACCTGAAGATTATGAGCATGTGCTCTTGCAACAAGATCAGTCGGTGCCATCGTATAGTTTTTGGCTGCTGGAACAACCGTATCTTTCCATGGACCAAGGCCAACAACATAGTTACTAATATATGCTAGGTAGTCATCAGAAGTGATGTCCCAGTATGACTGCATCAGAAAAAAACATATGTTATATGCATTCAGATGTAGATTATCCAGCCAGATTCATTATATTTTTGTAACATTGAAACCAATGGATATCAACCTTTTCCAGAATAAAGAAAGAAGTCAATGGATATGAAACATTTTATTAACAAGATTAGTACCTGGTTTGTATCTTGTGTTCTCACTGAGAAATCGTCAATCAGGAATATCTTGGGAGAGTCTGTCAACTTTGATGCATGTACAAGGGAAGTAGGAGCAAAAGATTGTATAAACAACGGCTGCTTCAGCCAATTTTCTGACATATATTGGCCTTTATATCCATACTTCAGTAAGGTATCCACAAATTTGTCCTCAAACTTCTTCCCACCATCCCACTTGACCTATCAAGAGTAGAATACAAAATTCCTCACTTATGGCACATCCGAAACTGGAAATTTGTTATGAATAAAGTTTTTTTTTGTGAATTGTAAACCTTATCTAAACCAAATTAAAGTATTTTGAGGTAAAAGGCATATCAGCTGCTGCTGCGTCATTATTCACATGCAATATATATTCTTGCAGACAGAAAAATAGCATTAAATATTAACTCAAGATTTATGACAAAAAGAAATTCTTGACAGAACTAAAACATGTTTTCTTTTGCTGTTCATGTGTAAAACACTATGTTTGTTCCTTTGGTTTTCTTGCAAAGCCGGGTAATGCAATTACCTATTCTCTTAAAAATAACAGAACTAAAACATGAAATTCAAAGCAATACATTAAAGTCCACATGATTCATATTATAATTATTTGATTAACCTGCAAAGGTATGCAGCTAGACATATTAAAATCATTTCACAGAAAATTTCTGCATAACATGTAAGCACAAATTTGTGCTGGAAAACACTTGACAATGATGTGAATTTTAAATGTTGCTTCTTGAGGATGGGGGACCTTACATGCTTGTTGATAAAAACTGGATCTTTCATCTCTGGGTATATTCCGACAGTTCTGCTTGCATCCAAGGCAATAGAAATGAATTCTTCAAATGTGATAATTGAAAACTTGCCTGCACCATCAGATAGAAAAAAAATAGTGTTAATCCTTTATTCACAATTATATGCCACCAGAATGTGCACTCTTACAAACATTGGCAGTTAACTTCCACATCTGTAGAAAGACTGGTAAAGATGAAGCCCAGCAGTATCGCATTATCAATAAAAAGAATGCACGTGAATGATCTTTAAAATTATAACAACATGACCTATAGAAGAGAGTAATGATATTGTGTCTGACAATCATGATAATACAAAGAGATACAAAAGAAAAAAGATACTCAAAGGGTATATGACCGCATACCATTGTATTGTTGGTCTCTGAATGGGTATCGCTGATTGACTTTCAGTGTTTTAAGTTCCTCAAGTGTGAAGTCCACTGCATATCAACACATGTATATTTAGGATGAATAATCAAAAAGATATAGCTTCACAGGTTTATCATCCTCATCAGTCCCACCCTAGCAATATGCAGTTTAAAAACATATATCAACCAGTATAACCTTTAACTAATTTAGAAAAAGGAAAGGATATGACAAACATAAAATAAAGGGAGAAAAAGTAAGTGGAAGAAATAAATATGGATATATTCTCCCTTGTGAATCACAAAGATAAGATGATATACATGTTTCCTATGCCAATCATGCTACTCCCTAGTTGTCATTCTAACTTTGTCCTAAGTCAAACACTTCTATCTTTGACCATCAAATTTTAGAAATTCAACTAGTTTAACAACAAATAAATTATATATGAAAATATTTCTCATGGTGGATCTAAAAACACAAATCTTACGATGTTAAACTTACAAATTTTTAGAAATTGATGATCAAAGATACAAATGTTTGACTTAGGACAAAGCTAAAAGCCTAAAACGACAAGTAATTTTAAAATGGAGGGAGTAGCAAACACCAGATAGTTTATGGCATTATCTGAAAATGGCACAATACCAGTTGCTAATGCAGGCATAACACTACAGGTAATGATTTTAAGAAAATCTTGCATGCACTACTTTCAACTGTAATAAGTTCAAGCTAAGGTCTCAAGAAATAATCAAATGGCATGCACAATTAGTTCCTATTTCTGACTTTTGATGCTGCAAACATTTACAAGAACGAGGGATGGAATTAGGTTTGGTTGTAATGTGCAAACCTACAAACCAGCCAGTAGCGTTGAACCATTCCACCTCGTAGGTTCTTCTTCTATTGGAAAACTCCTTGCGGCTGGCAACGTCAGTTGTAGCATCCAGTGTTACATCATGAAAGCAGATCAAGGCCCCATCTTTGCTAGCAAGGATGTCCGTTTCTATAAAATCCGCACCTTCTTCAATAGCCCTCTGCGAAAGATAAATATTATTTAGTGCTCTATTATTTATATGGTCCTATTCTTTTTCCAATGGTGAAATATTGCAGGATAGAAACATATTGGAATCAAATCCAATAAATTTGCAATCGTAAACATAGGCTATTGCATTCCATGCAAATAGAATAGCATGAAGTGTTTTGTATTACTAAATGCCTATACTTCTGCTATGAATAAAAATGAAGCAACATGGCCTAATATTGTTCAAAACAAATAATGCTTTTTTTTATATATGCACCATTCAAATGTTTGTAACGACGAATAATTGAAATTGTTCACACAATTATAATTGTAAAATTAGCTTGTATACATAGTGTGAAAATTTAGTCATCTTAGACCTCTTGTGTTATATTGTGAAGACCAAACAAAAGATAGCAATATGTTGATTTTTGAAGGACTATCAAGTAATATTGAAGAACTAGGAAGTTCATAGAAAATGGATGCGGAAGAAGTGGGGTATCTGATTCACCGCCACCATTGTCTTCTTTTAAAAAGGAGTACATGTAGCATATCTCTGAGTTGTACCAGGTAAGCAGCAGCTGTTTCCTCAGGAATTTCCCCATTTGAGCCACGGTGAGCAATGTTATATGGTCGAAAAGTTTGTAAGGGTCTCTTCTCTATTCCATTACTCTTGCTTGGTAGTGGAAAGAGTGGTCTAGAAAAAACCACATGTGGAAGTAGCAAAAGAAGAAAATAGATAGTACCTGCCAATGATGACAAGACAAATAAATACAGGACCAAGCTCATGTGCAGAATGCAAATACAAACATATTAAAAAGGTCAACACAATAAGACTATAAATTCAACTAATTCCCAAACTTTTCATTAGTAACCATGTTTGGTTATCTCAGGAATATTTTTCAATGTGTATATGTGATACCATGCCTTAACATGTTATAAGAAAGTTATCTGGTCAAAGCAGAGATTCTATCCAGGAAAAGGTAAGTGTTCTCAATTTACCATCAGTGATAAGTACAAAAGTCACAGAGTCCTCTGAATACCAGTAATTAAATTGTTAACCATTTAATTTTGTTTTAAGGGATCGTGTACTGCAGAAACCTGAACTCAAGGTTAAAAATGGATAGATTCAGACACATTACCAAATATAACTTTTTAAGACAAATACTCCTACAAAAATAGCTTACAGCGCAAAGATGTCATCATCTGCTCACGAATATGGTCTATTGCTGGAAACAAGTGCTGCAGTAATCGTATGGTTTTCAGGTTGGATGCTACATGGAGAATATAAGATGAACTAGAAAATTATTGAGCTGCTCTCACTGGTTTCTGTTTCTTCATTATATATCTAAGAACAATTGTACGTGCACATCCAGGCTATGAATACGGCCAATGAAAGATTTCTTTTTTGGACAAAGGAAAAGGAAAGATTCCTTTTTGTCCAAAAGAAGAAAAATCATCGCCTTTTATTTTGTGTCAATTTCCATGCTATTGCATTGTGGGCCTGTTTAGATCCCCTGGCAAAATTTTTTACCCTGTCACATTGAATGTTTGGACACATGCATGGAGTATTAAATATAAACGAAAAAAATAACTAATTACACAGATTGCGTGTAAATTGCGAGACGAATCTTTTAAGCCTAATTGCTCCATGATTTGACAATGTGGTGCTACAGTAAACATTTGCTAATGACGGATTACTTAAGCTTAATAAATTCGTCTCGCAGTTTACAAGCGGAATCTGTAATTTGTTTTGTTATTAGACTACGTTTAATACTTCAAATGTGTGTCTGTATATCCGATGTGACACGCCAAAACTTTACACCCATGGATCTAAACACCCCCTGTGTTCCAAGATTAGAATTCATGGGACTGAATCTGAAAGTTTCTAATACTCATTCGGAACAACATACGTCACACCTAAGTTGTTCTCTACTCCCTTATCCCACAAAAACTCAACCTAGTACTAGATAATGTAGGAGCACATATCAAATGACAAAATTAGATAACAACTAACAACTCTATAAGAATTTCCCGCCTCCAGGGCTCCAGTATAAAAATAGCAGAATGTTGGTCAAATTTGCCTAACCAAGCCATCATTTACTCAGTTCCATGGCAAACAATTGCTAATATATTGGTCTAGTTAGACCGATCAATCCACAATTCCACTTGTAGGAGCAGCTGCGCTAAATATAGAAGATATCTCAACTCCATGTTACTATATTCCTTTCACCTAGTCATAACCAAAAATAAATAAATATTCACACCCGGAAAAGTACTAGTAGTAGTCTACTACTCCGTACCAACTTGATCGGATCAACTGGCACAGAGATACAGAATCACTCGTAAGTTCGTAGTAGTAGTCTACTACTCCGTACCAACTTAAGTCGTAAGAGCTACCGCTAAGCAATTCAGAAGCAAGTTCGTTGGTTACTACAGCTCACTTTTGCATAATTTCACGGTTCTTGCCTCAACAAACAGCAACCATTGCCTCTAACTCCGTGTCAAGAAGACAAACAACCCACCTGAAGAAGCGCCATTCTTGTGCCAGGCCTTTCGAATGCAACAGATCGAAAGATTTCACAACCAATCGCAAATGCAAAATCACCCAAGGGGCCGGCAAAATGACCAAAAGAGAGAGACGATCTGTTTCCGGTGAATCGGAGAAAACCGGCGGATCGATCGGGGAGGAGAGAGAGGAGGGGACACTTACGGAGCGAAGGCCGCATGCTGCCGCCCGCTGCTTCGGTGCTCCCTCTCCCTCTCGATCTCTCGTCCCTCTCGGCCTCTCCTCTCCACTTCGCTCCCCGCACCAGCGAGAGCTCGAGGAGGAGGGGGAGAACGAGAAGGCCTGGGGGAGCTTGGCTTCAATGGAGAAGAAGACGGCGCAGCGGCGGATTCTCCTCTCCACTCCTGCTTTTTTTTTTCTTTTCGTCACGCCATTATTTCCTCACCCTTACCAAGCACGCTACGCTATCCCAACCAATAATGACCTTCCACGACACGGTAGCGACACCTACCCGTCACTGACATGTAGGGACACACCTCCGCGATGCTGGGACATGGACCCACCTGTCCGCGACACTGGAGGCGTTCCGCTTGTTATACCTGGTTCCAGCCTTGTGGACGGAATATTCGTGGGATTACGGCGGGTTTTCCGAGGATTTTGGATGGGCGAACAATATTCGTGCTATACGCTGGCTGACATGTTGGATAGAGCGATGGCCGTTGCCGGTGCTCGTTTTACATGCGGAAGGGATTAGTTTCTTTTTTTTTTTAGGGAAACCGAAACTTTATATAACTGATCCAGCTAAATCACTGGTCACCAGTCGTTCCATCCCAGTGCTGTGGCTATCAGAACGGCAAAGGAGAAGGGTATGGCGCGAGTTGAACTGGAAACAGATTCCCTGATGCTGTGCAATGCACTCCAGAGTAACTCTTTCAACTTATCAGTGATGGGTGGAGTAATCCTTGAGATCAAGCATGTGATTGCTAGCTGTTTTTATTCTTTCTCTATTAATTACTGCCCACGAAACTGTAATAAGGTAGCGCATGAATTAGCTGCTTTGGGTTGTAACCTTCAGGACGTTTCCTCCTGGAAAGGATTAGTTTCTAAGATCAAAGAACAAACACGGTCTCGGTGGTGTTCATTTCGACAGGAGAGATGGACAATAATAAGCTAGATGATGGAAAAGAAATATAAAGTAAAAAAGGAAACTTTTTAAGAAATTTCGGTAATAATCCATAAACTTAGACCGAGACATCCATAGACTTATAAAATATACAACTAAATCCCTAATCTTGATTTAATATGTCACATGTGGTCCATCATAAATAGTCACTTTATGATGGTCAGAATTTTGTATTTAGGTCTCTCCACTGCAATATGGCATTTCCAGATCCACTCTCCGATTTACATCCCAGTTAAAGTTTATGGAACGACCATGTATTTTATTTGAAATATAATTATATTCATGAAAACATTAACAATAAGTTTTATTATATAAATCAAATTCTATTTAAAGCTTATTGGTCTTATAAAATTTCTTATAGCTATTTTTGTTGAACCCACGCAGATTCGAGGGCTCATTTGATTTGAAGAAAATTCATGGGAATTTCAAATGATAGCAATTCATATGAATTATCGCTATATATGTTCTTTTTAACAAAGGATTGCAGCATTCCAAATTCTTTTTTTTAACTCATAAAGTTTTATTGCATATTAAACAGAGTACATGGGAGGGAACGACATTCCCTGAAACATCGTTTTGCAAGAAATTGACAACAACAAACGTTAAGGACCATCTTCCTGAAAGAAGGTAAAGATTGAATGATTAATGATTGAATGAAGGAGCATTCAAAATTCCTTTGAGATCAATAGGAAAAAAGCACATGAACTCAATCATCTTTTTATCATTTCTTTGAGAAGTCCAATGCAACTTTTCCCGTCTCTCTTCTCTATTAAAGCACATCCAAAATCCTTTGTTATTTTTATGTGAACCATCCAAACACGTTACTTTTTGAATTCATGTGTTTTACGTTTCTATAGAACTAGTTGATACCCCGTGTTTTTGTCGCGGAATATGTGAATAAATGCATGTTATACATTATAAAAATAATATACGTATGAAAAATGATGTGGGGATAATGATTTGACATTGATTGCGGTCTCGTTATTTTCTCCAACAAGAGTTGGATGAAGATTAAGATTTTCGTGGCACGTTTTCCAAACTGCTAAACAGTGCGTTTCAAGCGAAAACTTTCTATATGAAAGTTGCTCTAAAATATCATATTAATTTATTTTTCAAGTTTATAATAATTACGAAGTAAAACTCAATAATTATACGTTAATATCACATCGTTTTGCCTAAAAAAACTTAATATTCATCTCCATCTTCAGGAGAAAAAGAACACCACCTGCATATTGAGTTCTAAAAACACAATAAGATTGTAAATGTTATGTCATATTTGTATGATATTTAAAATACTCATAATAATTGCTAGTGAATGATGATGTGGCACACTTGCATGTGATTTAAAATACTCTAGTGAAGTGGGTGATGATGTGACACACTTGCATGTTGAGCGTTAGTGGACATCAACTTTATAGTAAAATATAATTCGCACCTACGTGATATCCTAACTTCTTCTCATTCTTATGGATCAATATTTTCGCTTTATGCTTATGCTTACTAGTCAAAATTTGAATTTTCAATATTAAATTTAGAGTTGATTTGTTTTTTTATCGAAGTTTATTTTTTAGCCTTTGCTTTTAAATCGCTAAGAACATATATATAAAAGTTTTATTTACAAACTATTTTTAGTTTGCAAATATGCAGTTTCGCTTATCCCCAAATAAGCGAAATGTTGGGGCCTTTATATTTTTGCAAAAAAAAACGCGAGTGAATTTCATGAACGATTATGCTTTTTCTTCTTGAGCCTTTCTACATCGATCAGACGGTCCAGAACGCGCCACGTAGCGCATCGAAGAGATCCAGCATCTTCTCCACCTCGCTGTATCCATCGGCCGCGTTCTTCGCATCGGTCGATCTCCCTCCTCTCCTCCTCCGTCGCGCCGCAGACGCCAACCCCGATCCCGATGGCCGCCTCCGCCTCCGCCGCCGGCGCCGGCGCCGGCAAGTCGCTGTTCCAGACCTTCCGCAAGTTCTTCAAGAAGCCGTGGGAGATCACCGGCCCGTGCGCCTCCCCCGAGTACCGCAGCGCGCTCCCGGGCGCCCTGGAGTACCGCCACCGCTGCCCGGCCACCCTGACGAAGGACACGATGGCCGTCGTGCCCACCTCCGAGCCCGAGACCGTCTACGACATCAAGTACTACACGCGCGACCGCCGCCGTGACCGCCCGCCCGTCCGCCGCACCCTCCTCCGCAAGCCCGACCTCGAGCGCTACATGGCCGCCAAGCAGTTCGACCCCGCCAAGGACTTCCCCGTGCCTTACGTGAACACCGCCGTGGAGGAGGACTACGACGCCGTCGGCGGCGGCTACCAGAAGTGATGGTCGAGGTGAGGAAATCCTTTGCTACTTTACCTTTCTAGATCTAGGATTGGACGGACCTAGGGTTCCGTATCTCCTCGTTGTGTTGCCAAATTTGCCATACGAAAACAGTTGTGCGAAACGTTACCATACAGGCATACGGTTTCAATCTCCCCGTTGAATCCATTTGTTTTCCTTTATGATTGAGGATATGATTTAGATGCATGTAGACTGGAACGAAAATGCTGTGAAATGAACTATTGCTAGATTGCAAAACAGTTACTCAAATGTAGCGGCTCTTGAATTTGCTTGCAAAACAGTGAGAATCGTAATAAAATCAGAATGAATGATTCTGCCGCTGATTTTGAATTCTAACATTTTGATTTTATTAGGATTTTAATTTTATGGGCTTTCATTGTCAATTTATTATCTTGTTCTCTTTTCATGATTGCTAAGATGACAAGTAAAAAATCTACCTAAAATTATTCTTAAAATTCAAAATCACTTTGCATTAGTCCGTAGCAGAAACAAGAAGAGCCACCAAATGCTGACCTTGTTACTTTGCCTATTGTTTTTATCTTTGGACTGGATTTGGTGGAATCTTCTTTTGAGTTTTTGATGCGTATAGCGCCTTCAAATGTTGTTACTACCTCTGGATGGAATAATTTGTCATTTCAGACAGTGAAAATGACTTGCACTTAGTAGTATTTGGCTGTCTGAAATCCTGACAGGAGGGAGTATGACTAACTAGTCAATTCTCAATGACATCTCAATTAAAATGAGACTTATCTGTCGGGTTGTTCTATTTTGTCGGATATTAGTACAGAATACCAGTTCTTTGCTAGAAATACAACTCCCTGCATTCTGAATATAGTAGCAACTTTTTCTTTCATTTTGTGATCTCATTTGGTTAGCTTCTTTAGAGATTATATTGATACAAATTTGATCTAGAGATAAAAATTAAAATTGGTTTCATATTCATCAGCTTATTTTGGAAGTATTTTGTTTTCCTCTTAACTGATAGCAACAACATCAGATGTCTGCTTGCAATAGCTAGTGTTTGCAAAGTGCAACGATCTGTGTTCTTAGGCCCTGTTTGTTTCAGCTTAAGATTATTGTAATCTAGATTATTGAGCCAGATTACTATAAGCTGGATTATAATAAGCCGACATAGAATAAGCTGTTAGCTGTTTGTTTCTCTAGATTATTTGCTGTTTGTTAGCTGTTAGCAACCCAATAATCTAAAAAAAGCACCTTTAGAGTGGATTACTAGATTATAGTAATCTGGCTTATAGATTGTAATAATCTATTAAAATAAGCTATCTGTTTGTTTCAGCTTACTACTAATAATCCAGATTATAATAATCCTAAGCTAAATCAAACAGTGCCTTAGTGTAGCTGCCGCTTAGCTAATATGAATCAGGCACAGTGCACTCAACTTAATTTGGCCATTTGACCTGACTCAAGGGTTCACTCACATTCTGCTGGACGCAACAGAGCCACAGAGGTGTGTGCCGCAGCAGGAAAAAAAAATTCTATAAAGATGTACACCTGTGAGTCCATACCACATACAATGTGTTCTCATAGAAGTTTCTTTCCCTATCAAAAGCTTTGCGGTGCTGCTGCTCTATTTTCATGGTTAGGCCTTGTAATGTGAGGTCTGGTTTAGGTTCTTCCCTCTAGTTGCAGATGCAAGCATATATTTTATTCTAAATTTCAATTGATCTTTTTTTACAATAAAACAATAGTTAGTCACCAAATATTCCGGGTAAGAAATGGATCACTTCCCGCTATTGAGTTCTATGACTTCTATCATCTATGCACGATCAACATTATAAGGAAATATATGCCATTGCTAGCTAAAATTGAAAAGAATTTCCAATAGCTAAAATTGAAAAGAATTTCCAACTTATTGGGATTTATGGACGATTAAACCGATTAAATTAATATTCAATTATGAGCCATTGCTAGCTAAACTTTGTAAGTATTATAATTTTGAGGCTAACACGGTGAAGATAGGTACCTGAAATGACTCTGGTTTAGAATGATTGGACCAGGGCTATTGTGTTGCCTGAGCTGGTTAGGACTTAGGATTGGTTATGGAATTTGTACTTATTGCGGTGACATGTTGTGATGTTTGCGAGCAGGGGGCCCTAGACTAGAAGGGCATAGGCGTGCTCGACGGGAGGGCGAGGCTGCTCACCTCGCCGCCTGGAGCCGTGATGGTGGCGTCAAGCTAGGGTTAGTGATGGTGGTGATGGGTACCGTCGAGCAGGTGGTAGAACGCCAGCCACACTTTCTCTTCCTTCAGCGTACACGGCCCCCTGTAAAATTGCTCGCAGCGGTTGAGAAAATGAATCGGGTCACCCTTACGATCGAACTTTGGAAAGTCAAGCTTGTGGTAGCATGGAGGGCGGTCGCCGTGGCATCCCTCACCTCCGTGCCCCAGGGTGAAGCTGTCGCTATCTGCGTCACAGCCACCGTGGTGTGGAGCGTTGTCGTTGCCAGCCCGTTCCAGGCGCTGGATTGCGACGTGGTGCGCTTGTTGTTGGTTGTTGAGGTCTGAGATCTGGCCGTGGATGGCATTGAGGCGTTCGATCACCGCAGCAAGTCCTGTCTTCCAGTCGTCGGCCAGCGACGTTGGTGACGGTCGACATGGCGCAGCATCAGCGAGCATGACCGTGGTCTCTAGATACCAAGATGTTGCGAGCAGGAGGAGGCCCTAGACTACGAAAGGCGTAGGCATGCTCAGGGGGAGGTCAAGGCTGCTCACCTCACCGCCCTGGAGCCGTGATGGTGGTGTCGAGCTAGGGTTAGAGATATTTCTTGGCTTGCTTTATTGATTGAATGAACTGCCCATATATAGGCTTACAAATTGAACTAATCTGCTGATTGAAGGGAAATACTAACTACTAACAACTCATATCTTTAACTAACTAAAAACCTAATTTGATTGCAAGCCGTAACAACCTTCCTACACGCATTCTGCTTCTTATCCTTCCACCTTCACTGCTTCTGCCACAGGCTGCCTCCGTTGCATATACATACGTTCCACCATAACATGTGACCTGGGGTAGATTTTTTAAAATGCATTAACAAAAATGTTTATCCACTATTTTCTTGTAAAATCACGTTTCTAAGAGGGAAAAAGTTTTCTTGTATAGAGAAAACTCAGTTGCATTTGGGTCACTATTATCCAGACCTTCCCTTACAGCTGCTTGGCTATTGTAGTTTTGAGTGTTGATACTATGTTGTACAACATATCATGCATTAAAGAATAAAGAGAATGCTGCCTTATATTTTCTGGCTAGGAAGTTTTAGATAACCTTGCCATACAACTAAGAACCCATGTTGCCTCTTTGTGCATGGAAGTTCGACATTTTAAACTGCCCCTAACTGATTTATTTTGTATGACTAATTCAGTATCCCATGTGGACTACAAGTTTTCTGTTGCATTTCTGACTTGTCCAGAAGTACTGACGCTCTCCGGTGCTTTGCAGTATCTGTTTCACACTGTATTTATAATCTGACAGCTTTCATGAAAATAATCCTCCCAGTGCCTGTCCTTTTTGTTTGTCCAACAAGTGCATTGCAACCCCAATTAGTAGCATCTATTTCTGACTCTGTCATGCATTTTGTGTGGCAAATTGTGTCCAAGTTACTCCCCTCCAGTCAATATTAGTTGACGTTGGGAGAACTGAGTTACGTCAAATATTTTTTACTGGAAGGAGTATATGCTAGTACTCCATTTATAGGCACAGGTGCACTACTACGTTTAGAATTGCATATACTATTTAGTCATCTCTAGATTTCTGGTACCTTCAGTTCAAAATGAGATGCAGCACTTGAAGCGACTAGGTGGGGTTTGTGACTTTTAACTACCTAATTCCAGACGTGAATCTGAATTCTTGCTTAATTATTTCTGTCTTCATGAATTATCATTGTAAAAAAGGATAATGATTCGACCATTCATCTTTTTTTTCAGGTATCTACCTTTCTTGTGCTTGCACTTCGTCAGAAGTTGCATTGTCTTCATTTGTGCCCTTGAAATCCATTTTGTATTTCAGAGGAAAAAAAATCTGGTTGTAAGAGATGATGGCGGCAATAATATGACACCTGTGGACTTTGCTGAATGTATCTTTCTTGTAAGTTGTATCCTAAAACTTGGAACTACCTGATGCTGATGCTTTGGTAGTATGGTTCAATGAAAGATGAAATGTTTCCTTCTGTAATGGCCGCATCATCTACTCTTACTGCAAAATTATTTTGACTGAACGAATCGATTGAAAGGTTCTCTTAGGCTGTGTTTAGTTCCATGCTAAAATTGAAAGTTTAAAGAAATTGGAACGATGTGATGGAAAAGTTGGAAGTTTGTGTGTGTAGAAAAATTCGATGTGACGGAAAAGTTGGAAGTTTGGAGAAAAAAGTTAGAATCTAAACAGGGCCTTAATTGAAAGTAGTAGAACTCTACTACTCAACATAGACCGAGTTTAGTTTCAAACTATTTCTTCAAACTTCCAATTTTTTTATCACATCAAAATTTTCCTACACACAAACTTCCAACTTTTCCATCATATCGTTCCAATTTTAACCAAATTTTTAATTTTGGTGTGAACTAAACACACCCATAGTATATCAGTATGGCTAACAAGTTTTGGCATACGAAACTTTTTACACGGTTGGCTCAATCGTGGCGAAGAACTTGCCACATGACCAGCTAGCAGCAACTGGTAGGCCATTACTGAACCTGCACTTCGTGGAATTGTGCAGATAGCCGAAAAAAATTCTCTGCCGGCATGTGCTGAATTGTGTGTTCAGATTAATGAATCCAGTTAGGCTTAACTACTACTGATCAGGATAAAGGTGTCAGGGGTCTCACTGATTTCATGCCAGTAATAAGGCTGTCTAGTTTGACTATTGCTGCCAATGTTGCTTTGTGGAATGGCATGTGCACTCATGGTTGGTGCTGGAAATGCAAACTGTTTGCTGTTTGGTCTTGTTAATCAGCCCAGCATGTGGAAGAACATGACCACCATGTACTGTCTTGATGTTTTCCTCTTGGATCTACTCGTGGCAATGATTACTGAGCAAAGGTGGGAACCAACATGTGCCTTGATCTTTGCTTCTGCTTGCTTGTGGCCTTTAGATTTGCTGATCCTTGAAAGATTTCTTGTGACGATAGATTCTCGAGAAAGTGCTCCTTGCTAAAGGTCTCCTTTAGAATGTACTCCCTCTGTTTCATCTATCCCATTTATTCTAATATTTATTTTAAAGTAAGTTTATTTTTATCATTTATCTACCATCGTTCGCAAATTGAGGAATTTGATTCCTTCAATACCTTTATCCATCTACCAATACTAATTTTCTATTAATGAGAAATATTTTGGTATTTTTTCCAGAAAAAAAATTAAATCTCAATTATAAGAAATGAACTTTATGTTTGGATAGATGAAGTAGTAATTTTACATGGTTTTCATTATTTCATAGGAATTAAACTTATTCATGTGAAAGTCCTCTTAAATTCCTCTTGTTCCAACTAAGAGATCTAAACAGGACCAGAAACTGCTATCATAATCCATTGACCGACCATTTTTTTTTTGAAGTTCATCACTGGTCCCTAAATTTGTACCGCTGTGTCATTCCGGTCCCTAAATTCGCAAATCGACCGCTCAGGTCCTCAAACTCGTTCAATTGTGTCATCCCGGTTCCTAAACTTGCAGATCACTCGTTTAGGTCCTCCAACTTATTCAGTTGTGTCACCCCGGTCTCTAAACTTGGATTTAAATATCATCTGGGTCAAATAGAATGGTCTAAAGACTTTATATTTAAAAATAATTCATAACTTTTTCATGTTAACTCTAATGAAGACAAACTTTATATCAAACTTGTAGCCATCGACGCGATCTACAACTTTATAGTTGATTTTTTTATTTCAAGTCATTTTTGTCCCAATATGTAATTTTAAAATTAAAATTTCAAAATCTATAAACATGCAACAATATTTTGGGACCCTAAACAATTTTAATTCAAAAACTTTTCAATTACAAAGTTGTAGGTCGCGTCGAGGGCTACAATTTTGATATAAAGTTTGTCTTCATTAGAGTTCACATGAAAAGGTTATGAATTATTTTTTATATAAAGTTTTTAGACCGTCCTGTTTAGAGACCGGTGTGACACAACTGAATAAGTTAGAAGACTTAAACGAGTGATCTGCAAGTTTAGGGACCGGGATGACACGGTTGAACAAGTTTGAGGACTAAACGGTCGATTTGCGAGTTTATGGACCGGGATGACACAGTGGTACAAGTTTAGGGACCAGTGATAGACTTTATTCTTTTATTTTTTTTTTGATAAACTGGCAGACGCATCATATTTTGCTTGGACTTCCGACTTCTTACATGGACGGATGCATATGCAGAGTACTTCTCCGGCAGGCTAAAAATTGTCGCTCGATCTATGTACGCAAAGCACGACGATGAAGTAGTCGCTACTGGCATCGCTGTCTCGTGGAAAATGTCAGTTGTTTTGTCTACAGATCGTTACGCATTAACTCATGGCCACTAGCAGTCAAACGACCCTCTCAAAAATGGGCTGACAGAGGCAAGGGGACCCCCTGGGTTAACTTTGTCACGTTGCTTCTGCAACAGTAGTCCACGGTACCACCACCACCACCACGCCAAAATTTCTTCGCATTGGAAGCAGAAATATCTTCGCTTTCCAGGCTTAGCTACGTTTTTTCGTCGATCCCCTTTGAAAAACCGATCCGAACGTGTCTGTCTAGTGTATACCCTCGAGACCTTGAGTTTCCCGTTTTTACGGAGCACGGTACAGTGGCGAGGACTACGACCGTGCACCAGAAGGAAAAAGAAAAAGGAAAAAAAAAACTCCGTCCGTATCGTGTCATCAGATGTGCTGTCAGCTTCGTGCGCCCTTGACCCATCTGTAGTTAAGCGTGTGCCGCAGCTTTCATGCTTTCATTCAAGCAGCATGAATGAATGCACTGCATGCAGCAGGCAGCAACAACATCAAAGAAAAAGACCGCGCGCGATGACGTCGAAACGCACAGGAGATGCATGTGTTGATGATTGGTACTGGAGACGGCTGAACTCTTCTCGTCTGGCCACCGGCCGCGGCCCGGCCCGCGACACATGCATGCAGTCAGCCACGGTCACACACACACCTGATCGACCTGCCGCCTGCCGTCTGCCCGTCTGCCGCGCGCTGCTTCTCTCTCCGTCCGATGGCGCGTGCAGTGCGTCCCATTGCCCCCTCGTTAATTTTTTTTTTCCCGCTCGTCTCGCGCGCGCTACAAACGCGAACGGTCCCACGGCGGCGCGCGTACAGGCGTGGTTAATTCGCGCATGCATGATTTGTACCACAGTTTGACGGTTAGCCTTTGCCCATACTCGCTCTATCCCAAAACGGCACAACCTAATTTAATCTTAAGACAATTATTTTATTCGGATTAGGTGTACTAGAATAGATCACATCTTATTTTAGATTAGGTAATTTTTTTTAAGACGAAGCGAGTATAATTTTCTCTCAGATCGAGGATCGAGCTGCTCCTTTTGCTGCTATGTTAGTACTTTGGGTTAGAGACTACTCCCTCCGTCCCAGAAAATAAACATTTTTAGAGTTGGACACAATTATTAAGAAAGTATGTAGAAGTGAATGGTGGAGGGTTGTGATTGGTTAAATAGTGGTGGTAGGTGGGAAAAGTGAATGGTGAAGATTTGTGATTGGTTGGGAAGAGAATGTTGGTGGAGAAGTTGTTATATTTTGGGATAAATCTTGAGGGCTAAAAGTTATTATATTTTGGGACAGATAGAGTAGCTAGAGGGTTCACGGTCGATCTGATTGTACTCCCTCCGTCCCATAAAAAACCAATCTAGTACTGGATGTGACATATCCTAATACTATAAATCTGGACATACCTCTGTCTAGATTTGTTGTACTATAATGTGTCACATCTAGTCCTAGATTCGTTTTTTCGGAACGGAGAGAGTACGTAGTTAAAGGGGGAAGAAAGGCGTTAGGCTGATATGTATATATGTATATGTATGCCATGCTCTAAGAAGACGCATGGGTAGGTGTGCTTTTGTTTCAGAAGTACTCCCTCCGTCTAAAGAAACCAACCTCGTACTACGACGTGATTAGGATGCGTCACATTCTAATACTAAGGTTGTATTTTTTTTTTTGCGGAGGAAGTATATGGTTCGACTAATTTCTGTGATAAGGTAGATTTATGAGTGCGATCTGATCAGGCGCAATGGTGCACACACAGTTGTTGCATACACATATATGTGTACGATGGATATGCCATGTGGTGCTGATGGCGATTCGTGTCTCGATCGATCTGTGCCAGGGCCTGCATTGTGCCGGCCGGCCGGCTGCAGCGACGACCATGCGATGCAGGGCAGAATAAGCGCCTTTGGAGCATGCAACCTAACTCCAGCTTGCAAAAAGGGCGTGGCGACAAACCGCTAGCGGAGATCGAACATGCAACATGAATGATCATGCGCGGGGGCCATTTCATTGTTTGATCGTGCGTGCATGCGCGCGGTTGCGCTTGGACCGGCCGGCCGAGCGCCTCCTCCACCCATCGATCGCTTTCTCTGCAGATTGGAAGCAGACTTTATATTAATTTGTCCCTCCAGGGACATCACATCGTTTTATATATGGCGTTCAAAAATAATAATAAAAATAAAATATTTATCAAGATATATCAATATATGATATATCTTTTCGCAAACATACGAGTTAAATTTTGACTTATACAATTCAAAACAAAAATAATATGACCGTGAATTACACGTTCTATTCGTAGTCAAATTTATTATTTTTATTTCTACTTATATAAGTTGAATTTGAATTTTTTATATTTATGAAGTGACATATAACATATTAATTTATCCTACTATATTTTTTTCAATTTTTTTTATAACCTAAAAATGGCCCAACCATCATCACGCTCATCAGCTCATGCATTGTCGCTCGATAGGTGCAGTTGGGAGACAGTAGTAGAGATTCAGGGGAATTGAAACAACATTTACAAACAAATTAAGTGCAAACTCTAAATAATGAGATCTGCTTTAATTAACGAACTACTCCAGTATTTAACCGTATGACGTCATACAGTCGACTGTGCTAGCGATATTTTGCTAGCGGTGCTTCCATATTTAGCCATATGACTTTGTGCATAGTTAGGGCAACGCTCTAAACAGTTAATGGA